AACAATCACCTGTTTACTGTGATCTTATTGTATATATATATATATATATATATATATATATATATATATATATATATGTCGTGCCGAATAGGCAGAACTTGCGATCTTGGCGTAAATAGCAACGCTCATCTTGCCATATAGGACAAGCGAAAATTTGTGTATGTAATAATTTCTCCAAAATCATTCTGAACCTAACGAAAAAATATATTTCACTGTGTTTGTTTAGTACTAAATTATTGAATTATTGTAAACAAGGGTTAGGCTAAAATAAATTGTTCTTGTTATAATAAGGTTAGGTAAGTTTTCTAAGATTCTTTTGGAGCAAAATTAAAAAATTTTACATTAACATTAATGAAAAAATTATATCTTTAAACGTATAAGAGAAGATTTTAGAAAGGACTTAATTTTAAATGAGTTCTTGCTAATTGACCAGTTTTACATATTCGGAGAGAGGCCCAAAAGACTCGGGAACACTAACAGCGAAAAAAATATTAGCAAATCTGAGCTCTGAGAGGAGACACTGCAATATTTCTAACTGCTGTGTTAAGTATTTATTAGGTGTGTTATGGCCTTAATTCCATGAAACCACCAGCAGATCCTGGAGAGAAAGACATTGTAGCTTTGAACACTTCTGGTTCTTGAATTGTCAACAGTTCTCCTCTAGTGGTGATGTAGTGAGGACCAGTGTCGTTGCCAGAAGTTCTGGCCCGCAGTTTGAATCGTAGGACTCCAACTGTAGTGGAGTTCCTTGGGGTAAATTGTTACGTTGCTGGTGTTTATCCTGATTGCTTCTGCAATATTTCCATCTTCGATTTTTTTGCTGATTTGTGCTTTCATTAGCAGCACATCATGGGAGGTTCTACTTTAAACTTCTCTGGTATTTATCGCACGATAAGGAAGGAGAGCTAGATTACCATCTCTGAGGAAATCATTTATTGGCCTAATGACCAATGACGCCAGAGTCTTGTTCCGCCTGGGTGATAGATCCAAGCAGGAGAAGCTTGTTCCATGCTCCGGAGCTGTCTAGGCATCATTAACTCGTGCTTCGTTATATACAACTATACTCTACCGTCAGAATGCTAGCAGGGATATTACAGGGAGGCTTCTAAATGTATTTTATAACCAGCCGAGTTAACATTTTTTGTCTGCTTTCTACAGAGTGTGTGGCAGCAGCGTGCAGTGGACACACTTCACACAGTGTAGGTAAACGCAAGTTACAGAGTGTGGTAAACCAAGACGGATGGTCATTCTGCTGCGAGGAACAGCATTTGCCACCAAAACGTTTTGCACAACAGCAGCAGAAATTGCCTCAGCAACATCAGCAGTACCAAGAGAAGCAGTGGGAGCAACAACATCAACAGCAGCCTCAGCAACACCTGTATCAGCAGCAGCAGCAAGAAAAGCGTCTCCAACAGTTTCATCATCACCAGCTGAAGTATACGCTGCATAATCAGCAGGACCAGGCGCTGAAAAATCACCAACAGGAGCAAGAATTACATTATCAGCAGCAGCAGCAGCAGCAGCAACAACAACAACAACAGAAACAACAGCTGAAAATGTGCAGAAAAAGCAACTATTATCGGCAAGACGCTCAAGAAGAGCAACTGCAGCTGGAGAGAAGCCGTCTGTTGCAGCGTCTTCAGGAGCTGCGGGAGGAGCAGCGATGTGTGGTATGCTTCGACGCTGCCTTCAGCGTCGTGTTCATGCCCTGCGCCCACCTAGTGGCCTGCCCAACCTGCGCCGCCTCCCTTCTCTCATGCCCTATCTGCCGCTCCCCCATACACTACATCGTTCATGTCAAACTCGACTGAGGAACCCAAGGCTGAATTATCTGTTGGCCGGCCTGAAGAGTCAGTAAGTTACTTCTGGGAGTGCTGACATAATCAGCAGGTCTTACCTCTCGAAGACACCTAAATCAGGAAGATTATTAGGCCTTTTTGATATGGATGAGTGTTCTTTCAGACAACACTCTATCAAGAGAAGTACAAAAATTTCTCCTGACGTGGGTAATAGCCATATGATGCCCCATTGAACACTGCTTCAGACCACTTGATCCAGACCTTCCTCTGGCTGCCCCCACCATCTCTCAACAAAAATAAACTCACATCAATCTTGGAACCCAAAGTAAAACTACTTCCGTGTTCTTATATATATATTCGTGCTCTTGCTGCGTATATAATTTCTTATTCAGTATACAAGGTCTGGAGTTAAAACTTTATATACCAAGGTTCACCAAGGTTCACCAAGGTTCACCAAGGTTGATGCTTCAAGGTCATATAATAATACAGTAAATTACTACAAACACTGTTTGTGTAAAAGCAAAAATCTGAACACGAATCTCAGTTCTCTGATCTTACAAATGATTACTTTGAAAATAGTAAAGTGTCGTGCAGCGACCCGTCCACGTCTACCAAACGTCCATTTCTCGATTTTCGGCAAATTTTGATTAAGTTAGGTTTAGTTAGGTTAGGTCAGAATAGTTTAGTTTAGGTTAGATTGGGTCAGGGAGTGCTGGAGGTTTAGCAGGAGGGAAGGAGGGTAAAGCAGGAGTAGGGAGGTATAAGCAGAATGAAGGAGGGTAAAAGCATGAGGGAAGGAGGGTAAGGAGTAGGGAGGGGAGGGCAAGCAGGAGGAAGGATGGTATGCAGGGAATGTTGATTTAGGTAGGAGGGAGGGTAAGCAGGAAGGGGAGAAGGGTAAGCAGGAGGGAATGAGGGTAAACAGAGGAAGGAGGTTAAGGACAGTAGGGAATTCTGTGAAAGCATGAGTGGATGTAGGGTCACTTCCTGATTTAACGTGCGTGTCCCATGATTTACACTCTGGAAGCCTTCGGGCTCTGCTTTCACCTCCGTCGTTCTTCTCTACCTTCCTGCTTCCCTCTTTACCCCCTTTCTTTCCTTCTTTACATCCTTCTTTCTTTCTCTACCTTCTTCTTTACACATGTTTACCCCCTTCGTTCTTGTCTTTCTTGAAACCTTCCTACAACCCATCTACGCCCATTCCCCCTTTGCCTCCGTGTTCGACTTCTACTTCTTCAGCACCTTTCTCTACTTCTACGTCTTCTTCCTCTTTCTCGACTTCTATCGTCTTCTCCCCTTTCTCTACTTCTACTTCGTCCACCTTGCTCTACTCTACTTCTTCTCCCCTTTCTCTATGACTCTTCATCTACTTCTCCCCTTTCTCTACTTCTACTTATTCGCCTCTTGCTCTACTTCGACTTCTTCTACCCATTTCTGCTACTTCTACTTCTTCTCCTCGTTGCTCTACTTCCTGACTTCCTTCCGTCCCCATTCTCTACTTCCCCCTACTGGAACTTACAATCCGCTTTCTCTACTTCTTCTCCCTTCTCTACGCTACTTCTTCCTCCTCTTTCTCTACTTATACACTTTTTTCTCCCCTTTCTCTACTTCTACTTCTTCACCTCTTTCTCTACTTCTACTTCGTCTCCCCTTTCCCTACTTCTACTTCTGCACATCGTCCTACTCTACTATCTTCATCCCCCTTTCTCTACTTCTACCTTCTTCCCCTCTTTCTCTACTGCTACTTCTTCTCCCCTTTCCCTACTTCTACTGTTCTTCTCCTCTTTCTCACTTCTACTTCTATCTCCCCTTCTCTATCTTCTACTTCTTCTCCTCTTCTCTACTTCTACATCTTCTCCCTCTTTCTCTACCTTAACTTCTTCTCCTCTTGCTCTACTTCTACTTCTTCTCCTCTTCTCTACTTCTACGTTCTTCCCTCTTTCTCTACTTCTACTTCTTCTCCTCTTTCTCTACTTCTACTGGCTCCTCTTGTCTCTACTTCTAAGTAATTCGCCTCTTTCACTACTTCTCACCATCATCATACATAACTAACCTACCCACCCACCTCATCCCCTCATCGCCCCCCCCACCACCCTTTACTCACGACTATTACTAATATTACTATTATTACTAACGACTATCTTATTATACCCACCTCCACCATATCCAGCATTTCACACAGTCACTTCCCAAACCCGAATCAACCCACTTCACACTCCCCCTTCCACCATCCTACTCAGTCGAGCACACACCACTCATATGGTACAACTATAAGATCAGCCCCCTCAAATGTAATAACCCTATGTACCCCTCAGTGTAAACATAGAAAAAAAAACCCGACCACCCCAAAACTCCCCATTAAAAACAGTACACCCAAGTACACCCATGAACTTCCAACTTACCTCCTCGAACCTCACTACCCACTCTTGATTCATCCTCCCACTCCCCTCACCCACCCTACCCTCACCTCATCCCCCCCTCCCTTACACAAATTCCCCAATTTACCACAGCAAAGGAAAAATACCAACCCCCTAATAGCCCCCCTTCCCCTAGACTAAAAAAAAATACCATGCGTAAAATAAAAAAATAAGAGAGATGCTCATCATAGTATGAATTGAACTTCAAACCGGTATAGAAGAAAGGAAAGCAGAGTTTTTACATCACCTGTCTGCGGTGTCTAGTATACACCTGTCTGCTGGTGTTCAAGTATACACCTTTCTGATAGGTCTAGCAACCGCCGTCTGCTGGTGTCTAGCATCCCACTGTCTGCAGGTGTCAATCATCCCTCTGACTGCTGGTGTCTATAATACACCTGTAGATGAGGTCTTACATCCCGCCTGGCTGCTGGTATCTTCATTGTTTGCAGATTTCCAGTGAGACTCCTCATAAAGGATCATTTTGACAATGAAATATGCATCCCGGGTTATCAACCTTACAAATGTGACAGAGTGAAACAGGCAAAAGGGGGGAAATGGTTTGACCTGTAACGTCACAGAGTCACAGATATGCACGCAACTCCTAAATGCTATCAAATGATGTAGTTGAATTTGGCAGTAAAGACGAGAACCAAACCTGGTCATTGTGGTTGTATACAAGCCTCACTGAATCAACCTCCCACAGTTCCAGTAACAGTTTTTGAAAATAGATCACTGTCAGGAAAATCATCCAGCTTCTGCTCAGACATGTTCTAACCTGGGTATTTCAGCCTACGGGACCCAAAATGGGAGGAATGTAGCAAAAATGTTGTAGCATGAGATAACCAAACCATGCCACTTGAGGGGAATAAGAATCCGCGATCAGAGTAGTCACAAAACTACAGACCAAAGCTCCTATCCACTTGGCAAGCTGGCTATACAAAATTCGTCCAACTAAGAATAATTATACACCATAGGCAAGTTAGTACATAGGCACCACTGAGACCACAAATGCAAGTTTTTAAAGACGAATCTCCCACCAGCATGACAGTGACAGCTCTAGCGCAAGTCCCTCAAAGCCGTCAGTCGTGTGTCATTAACGACTTCGTGACCATGTTTGACTGCAGAGATAACCCCATGAGACAGCCAGATGAAAACTCGCACACACACGAAAACTGGTTAAATAATCTTCTGCAACCAAACTCACCTTAAACAGAGCTCCAGTCCACAAAAGGGAGCAGTAAAGCAATAGCAAAGAACTACAGATAGACAGCGCTAACATCCCATATCATAAAAGTCTTTGAAAGGGTCTAAGAAGGAAGATCGCCACTGACTGTGACCACTATGACAAGTCCTGATTCATTAGAAAACAAAGAGAACCGAAGAAGAAGTATACCCAGACTTTGTAAAAAAGCCTTAGACAAGTGTGACCATGGTGTAATATCGTACAAAATGCAGTATAAAGGAATAACAGGAAAGCTGGTTAATGATCTATAATTTCCACAAATAGAACACAAAGAGTAGTGCAAACAGAGGCAAAGTCTTAGGTGGCTTCTGTGAAAAGCTTTGTTCCACAAGCACAGACTGGCTCCTATCGTTGTTTCCTCATCCTCATATCCGATATGACAGGGATGTAACCCCAGCACCGAGTGCTTCCTTTGCAGATGACAACCTGAATTTGCCATGACAGAGTGTCCTCCACTGACGACACTGCAAGACTCCAGGCGGACATCAATCAAATCTTAAATGGGTCGCAGAAAACAATATGAAGTTCAATGATGAGAAATTTCAATTACTCCGATATGGAAAACTGAGGAAATTAAAACTATCTCGTAGTATAAAACAAATTCCAACCACACAATAGAGCAGAAACTACTGTTAAAGGCCTGGGAGTGATAAAGTCAGAGGACTCACCTTCAAAATACCACAACATTGTAACAATAGCATCTACAATAAAAATGACAGGATGGATTATGATAACCCTTCAAACTAGGGATGCCACGCCCATGATGACACTCTATAGGTTCGCTTTTTCTATCCTAGGCTTGAATATTGCTGGCACACTAACAGCACCTATCACGGCAGGTGAAAATTGCTGACCTAGAAAATGTACAGAGAACCATAAGCACACAATTAACTGCAATAAAACACCTCATTACTGGAAACGTTGAAGTTCCTCAACCAGTACTCCCTAGAATGCAGTCTGGAGAGATACATGACATAACACTTGGAAATCCAAGATGACTAGTACCACACTTGCTCACGAAAACTTCACTCCCTATGAAAACAAAATACTCGCCAGACCGAAGCAACATTCCCCCACACTGAAAAGCAGGGGCGGGCCACAAGCATACATAAGGGGGATAACCATAGTGACCCCTGGCTGTCCTTCAAGAAGTGCAGGATATGCACTAAAGTCAGTACCTGACCTAGCCTGGCTGTGGTTCGTACGACGTGGTTTTGTGTGGCCGATCATAACAGCCTGGTTGATCAGGCCCTGATCCACCAAATGAGACCTGGTCACAGATCGTGCCACGGGGCGTTGACTCCCCAAAAATCCCTCCCTCCAGGTATACTCCAGGTATTCTCCAGACTCTAACAGACCACACACAGACATATACACAGACTAACAGACACAGACAAAAACACAGAACTGACATACACAAACACAGAACTTGACAGACTCACGACGAACCAGACAGTAGGGAAGAAGAGGAACTGTAAGATGGACATAAAATACTCCTGTCTCATTACTAGACACCAGCTTCCTCCTAGAACGATCCATTCATGAATTATGTTTTTTCTTATGGGAGTAATTTTTGGTAATCGAGCGGCCCATTACGGGATTGTCAACAACTGAGGGGCAAGACTTGGTTAGTAGCGTTGTACTAATGTCTGTGAATTGGTCATGGAAGCAACCTATTCCCCTGACTCAGCGAGTCATCTCAGCGCCGTGTCGTTTCCACAATCTTTCCACCAGATTCGTAGTTTCTCTAGATTCCTTCTCAGTTTCATCCTTTGTTCTTAACTTGGTACTTCCGGCGTATGGCTGAGAGAAAGTACACTGATGGATGTTTTCACACAGCGTATATATCCTGAGAAGTAATTCTGTCTGGTGGTGAAAAGGTTATGTGGGTGCCGTTAATGGAGCCAGCGTAGTCGATTAGGCTTGAAACATCCATTAACCCAACCACCAAGGATTGTTTGGGAGAGGTTTGTCACGTACTACCTGTCATTACTACGCCTAATGATTACACAAGTTGATAAACTTTACACATTTGCAACAC